TGCTGGAAATTTATTCTGGAGTTAAGTGTGAAATAGGTTTAGCTTTGTGTTAATGATTTTAGCCAGTTGTCCCCATACCATTTATTCAATAATACATCCTGTGCTCATCAAAAAGCCCGAGGCTGGAATTTAATCTTTTCTGCTGACCCCAATGATCCAGGGGTAATTTCCTTTACAGAGCTATGAGCTTGGGGTGAGTCTACTCCAAAACTCCCTGTTCACCCTCTCACCCCGTGCTTTCTCCTGTGCCAAGCTCAAGGCCTCTGTCACGAAGTGTTTCCTAAGAATTTAAGAAGTTGCAGAGCCAAAACATGCTTGACCTGACAGCTGCGGCCTTTCCCAATCCAGGATCAGTGCCTTAAGTCTCAGTTCTTCCATAAACCCTCCCCCTTCACCCTTTACTGTGGCCTCAGTACCAATGAGATCCCTTTTTCTCTAACCACCTTCCATCCAGTACCCACTGAATCTGCTCTGTCAAGGTCGCCAGCTATCCCCCCAACCAGGCCAGCATGCCCAGGTAGGAGCCTGGGGGAGTTTAGTCTCTTCATCCTGCATTGGATGGTTTGGGGGTAGGGTGCTCTATCCCCTAGGGAGTAACCAGCCAGACCTCCTTGGTGGTGGAAACTGAAGCAGAGTTCATCTCTCTACCTTCTTAACCTTTGGCTCTGCAAGAAAGGTCTTCAGAAGCGACATACATTCCTCTAGGAGGCATGGTATAGAAAGTTAGGAAGGAGATGGGAGTCACTGATGATGGCCTTTTTTTGTTAGGTTGAAATGCCTCTTTTGAGGCTCCTTTTCAGGGGAAATGCTATTACATGTTGTTTTGGGTGAATGGCGCCCCCTGGCCTTTGCAGCAGCCAAGCTATGTGTTGAGAGCTCTGACCACGTTAACTCTCACTGCATCCCTATGAGGGGAACATTAAACTCTTCTCCCAGAAGAGGAAGCTGAGCTTCAGAAAGGTTAAATAACTCTCCCAAGGTCTCACAGGTCTGAATGGCAAAGCCAGGACTCAGACTTAAATGTGTCTTCCCCCACCCCATGCCAACCCAAAACTGGCATCAGGGGACATTTCCTAACTATGTGGTGTTGGGCAAGTTATTTAAACTCTATGGGCCTGCGTTCTCACAACTGAAAAATGAGGATTGGGTTAATACTTATCTATAGGTTTGTTATGTGTATTAAATGAGCTTAATATATTCAGAGAGTTCAGAACAGTATCGGGCACAAAATAGAAATCTCTCAATACTTGATAGTTGCTATGTGCAGCATTTTGTTGTGGTTGCTAGGTGCTGTCGATTTCGACTCATAGTGACTCCAAGTGACAGAGTAGAACTGCTCCATAGGGTCTTCTAGGCTGTAATCTTTACAGGGGCAGATAGCCAGGTCTTTCCCCCGCAGAGCCACTGGATGAGTTCAAACTGCCAACTTTTTGGTTAGCAGCTGAGTGCTTAACCATTTTGCCACCAGGCATTACCAGCATTTTTATTGTAGTAGTAATAGCAGCAGTAGTTGGTATTATTATCTCCATTTGAAGTTTCCCCATTGGCTCTGAGAACACCTGGGAAGTCAGATCAGTACCTCTCGCTTCCGCCAGATGGCACCATCGCGGCACCTAGTGGGGGCCCCTTTCTGGGCGTCTTTCTGTATTGGATTTATAGGGAAGCTCTCCAGTTCCCACAGAGTCCCTGGGAAAGAGCATCTCCTCGGAGAGGGGATACCAAAGTTCAGAACCCTCTACTCATTTGCCCTTGCTATTGTCCCTGCCTTTTGGGACTTCCTGCCCACTAGGGCAGCTTGTACCCACATAAAAGTACACCCTGGGGTATTTGCCAAATGGTTCACACAGGGCCTGGCCCAGGAACCTTCTCAGGAACTCTTCTCTGATGAACTTTTCTGGGACTAAACTTCCCCACTAAGGGCAGCCTGACTCATGCTGAAAGCCAAAGCCAAACCCCTCGTGGCTTACCTCAAATGCCTTCTAGGGACTGATTGCTCCATATACTTTTAGTTTTCATGTTCCAGGCAGACAAAGGAAATATGCCCCCTACTTGAAGGAATTTCAGATAGGCAGGGTTATAGACACACTAACGGTCCTACCACTGCCACCTTGGGAGACCCAGGGCTCTTCACTCTGCAACCAGCATTTCACAAAGTGCTGTGTAAGGGCTTCCTGCCTCATATCATGGATTGTTGTTGTTGTTAGCTGCTGTGGAGTTGGCTGTGACTCATGGTGACCCAACGCACAATGGGATCAAACCACTGTGCTCCATAGAATTTTCACTAGCCAATTTTCATAAGTAGATTGTCAGGGTTTTCTTCCCAGTCTGTCTTAGAAGCTCTGCTGAAACCTATTTGTCATCATAGCAACATGTAAGCCACCACTGACGGACAAGTGGTAGCTGTGCTGGAGGTGCATTGGCTGAGAATCAAGCATAGGTCTCCCACATGGAAGGTGAGAATTCTACCACTGAACTACCACTACCCTCCAGATCACGGATAAAACCAGTTGCTGCTGAGTTGATTTCCACTCATGGCAACCCCATGTTTCAGAACAGAACTGTGCTCCATAAAGCTTTTATGGCTGTGAACTTCTGGAAGGAGATTACCAGGTCTTTCTTTCAAGGTGCCTCTGGATGGATTCCAATAGCCAACCTTTTGGTTAGCCAGCCGAGGGTGTAACCATTTGTGCCACCCAGGGACTCCTGGTCATTGATACAGCTTATTGAAAAAAAAAAAAAAAAAAAAAAAAACCATTGCCAGTGAGTGAATTCCCACTCATAGTGACCCTATAGGGCAGAGTAGTATCAGTGATTCTCAAAGTGTGGTCCCTGGACTAGCAGCAACATATTTCCTGGGAACTTGGAATAAATGCAAATTCTTGAGCCCCATCCCAGACCTACTAAACAGAAACTCTAGGGCGAGGCCTAGCAATCTCTATTTTAACAAGCCTTCAGGAGATTCTGATGCACAGGATAGCTTCCCCTCTTGTGTGGCTGCAGGATCCTTCTCTGCAGATGACTGCCAAATCTCTCTAGGTTTCCAAACCAAAGCCAAACTCACTGCCCTCGAGTTGATTCCTATTCATAGTGACCCTATAGGACAGAGTAAAACTGCCCTATAGGGTTTCCAAGACTATAATCTTTACAGAAGCAAACTGCCGCATCTTTCTCGCCTGGAGGGGCTGAGGGTTCATACCACCAATCTTTTGGTTAGCAGCTGAGCACTTAACCATTGCACAACCAGGGCTGCTTCTCTAGTGCTCCAGTGAGTCTAATTAATCATTTCCGCGGGGCCAAAGTGCTTTGGTGGTGGTCTAGTTGATGGGCAATATGGCATACTGCCTGACACGGTTGTGGTAGGCATTTTCCCATATGATGGTGCTCAAAGCTGTCTTAGTTTTAGTTTTTATCTTGATGAAAATGTGCAACATTTTCATTACAATTGATTGGCAAATAGAACCCTAACTTGTGACAGTCAACTTCACAGCTTATCAGGTTTCGGGGTCTGTCTTGTTTCCTATGGCTGTAATACTTTTCCCCCCTGAGGCAGTGGGAGGAGGCAAGGAGACATTGAGGTGACCCTATTATAAAATGACAGGGGAGATGCAGGCCCTGCTCTCACTCATCTGCCCCCTCCTCTCCCTGCCAGGATGTTAATGAGAGCCTCTGGCCCCAGGAAGTACCAGGCCTGGGATGGGAGCAGTATGGTGCCTGAAGGAATGAGAGGTACAGACCCCAGAGGCATAGAGAGGATAATGAATGCCCAGTGCCAATCTCTAAACTGGGGAGAGAGAGCAATTTTAAGATGAATAGATGTTGATAGCAGCAACAGGTCACCAGAAACATCTTTCCCCCTCTTGTCCAGCTGCCTCAGTCAGGCGCCTTTCATATTTCTAGCGCCTCAGAATGTCATTCTGCGCTGTCTGGCATCCCTTTGAACTTGCTATGGGTGGTAGGTGCCCCAACCCCCCCCCCGCCCCTCCCTCCTTGCTTTGCCTCTGGAAGCAGGGAGAGAAGATCCAAGCTGATATCCTGTACAAAGAGTGGGGAGTGCCAGGTAGCGGATGTGGGAGCACAGCAGGGGCCCTGAGCCCTGTGGGGCTGAGGGAGGTGCTAGGACCAAGTTTTACAGATGCCAGAGGAGGGGGCAGCATTGCAGGGATATAGGGGCCAGTTGGAGGGTTCAGATGCAGAGTCAGGGCCACCCTAGGGCCTAGCGAGGCTCAGTGAAGCTGGTCTGTGGAGAGCCTCGAATGATCAGCTAAGAGTCTAAAAACAAAACTGTATATTGTAGACTGGGTGTAACCCATTGCCATTGACCCTATACGACAGAGTAGAACTGCTCCATGGGTTTCAAAGGTTATCAATCTTTACAGAAGCCGACTACCACATCTTTCTCCCATGGAGTGGCTGGAGGTTCGAACTGTCGACCTTTCGATTAGCACCCGAGCGCTTTAACCACTGCGCCACCGGGGCTCCTCTGACTGGGTGCAGTAAACAGGTTTTAGGTGATGTTTATCCGTGACAAGCCAGCTGTCCACATCCCTCGGTGAGTCATAATCCGCCTGGGACAGCACCTGGTCCACCGGGTTCTGCTCGGGCCTTGGCGACTGCCCACGATGGGTAACGCCTGCGCAGGTGCTGGGATCCAGAGTTCCCTCACCGGCTGATTCCTCTCCAGAGTCTGCAGGTCCCCCGGTCCTTGCCTGGCCCCGCCCTCTGTCACCTGGGCTAGTCGCTGGGGGCGGAGACATCCGGAACTGCGGACCCCACCCGAAGAAGAGCGCCTAGGCGGCCCAACCCTGCTCACTGCATAGCCAGGCCCGGCGTTCTAGCGCACCGCGGAGAACTCGGATCACGGAGACAGCTCTGCCACTCCCGGCAGGACAGGAGCTGCGCCGCGGCCGGGTCTTGTGATTGGACAGATGAGTCCGGGCGTCAGGGTGCTTGGATCTGAGTTCTGGTAAATTTCCTGGAAAGGAGAAGACGGCGCCGACGAGATGCAAGCGGAGGAGCCCTGCGCCCCCAAAGTCCCCGAAGCCCCTTGTGCCCCCGACGCCCTCGGTGTCCAGGGAGCCCAGCGGGCGCCCAGCCCCGAGCCGTGTCTGTCCAGCCAGTTGCTGCCCGAGCTTTACACTTTCGTGGCGCGCGTGCTGTTCTACCTGGCCCCTGTCTACCTAGCCGGCTACCTGGGGCTCAGCATAACCTGGTTGCTGCTGGGCGCCTTGCTGTGGATGTGGTGGCGCAAGAACCGCGACGGGAAGCTCGGGCGCCTGGCGGCCGCCTTCAAATTCCTAAACAACGAGCGCCAGTTCATCAGCCGCGAGCTGCAGGGCCAGCACCTGCCCACCTGGGTGAGCCGGGCGGAGCCTAGCGGGGGGCGGATGCCTGTCGAGGTGCGGAAAAACCTGCGGTAGGCTCAGGAGTCTGGGCGCGCAAACCTGAGAGCGCCAGGGGGGAGCCCCCGGGACGTACACACCCCATCCCCTACTGCTCCCGGCGCACTGACCCCTCGGGCTGTGGCCATGCCGATCGCCGCGGCGCCCTTCGCTCACCCTCGTCCCCACCTCTGGTCCTATTGAGCTGGGAGAGGGGGACCTGGGTTTGCTAAGGACCACAGAGCCTGAGAGAAAAGTCACGGGCAGGCTACACACAGGGGAAAACAAGGGCGTCTGGGGCTCTGCAAAGTTACATGCAAGGGAAACAGCACCCGCCGGCTGATTGCCAGAAAGAACCCAGAGCGCAAAACTTTCATGGACAAATCAGCCTGGACGGAAAAGGGACTCAGATTCCCTTTAACTGAGGCAAGGACAGAGGCTGGAGGTGGTAGCGGGGTTCAGCGCGCAGGGGCGGGGGGGGCGATGCTAGGATGGGAGTGGTGGGATGGGACTGAGAGCTGCGGAAGTGGCCGGGGTTGCGTTCGCTCTTTAACAGGCTTCTTTTGCTCCCTCGCCGGTGGGGATGCTCAGACTCGCGCAGACTCTTACACACACACACCAGCGCCGAATCATGGGTTTCCCAAGCGATCCTGGTTCTGAAAATCACCTGGCCCGCTTGCTTAAATAAGCAGGTTCCCGGGCCCCACCCCAGACTTCCTGGAATCAGAATCTCCCAGCGTGGCACCGAGACACCCTAGGTAATTCTTACGATCAGGTGGGTTTGAGAAACACTGGCAAGAGTGGATTTGAGTTCATTTCCAAGCATTGGTCTGCAGCAAACCTATTCTTCTGGGTGCTGGGGGTTCCAGCTTCTCAGATTTCCTCCAGATACACTCAGACCCACAGGGGGAAACGTCCAGAGGCAGCCAGACCACTCATTTCTATGGGCCTGAGGACTGTACTCTAAAACTCAGTCCAGTCAGAGGCCCTCCACACCTGCGCATGGCATTACCCTCCAAAATGGGGGTGTGAGAAGGAAATATTAGAATGGCTTATTTATAAGTATTTTATGTTAAACAAAGAGAAACTATGCCTTACTAATATTTACTATGGAGTCCCTGGGTGGTGCAAATGATAGCCATGAGTTGGGATGGACTTGATGGCAACTGGTTAATATTTAATATATGAACTGACAGTAAAGCTTTGTAAATAGGTATACATACATTGAGAACGAGAGGCCAAAGGCTTGTAGTGATAAGAGTACACACACACACATACACACAAAACATAGTGACAACTTTCCTTGTGTAGCAGCCAAGGGGGCAATGTTTCATGCCTGTCTCCCTCAGACTTTCATCATCCTAGTTGTTCTGTGGGTGCTTGTGATTATGAAAGGTGTGGACCTGGAGAATAGGCTGGACCACCTTTGTTCACTGTTGAGAGAGCCTAGGCCACCTGTCAGACCTCTACTGTGACCCCTGTGGTGGCCTCAGACCACGAATGTGAGCCCATAAGTCCTGGCCATGTGACAGCCCTTCCTTTCTCCTCCTTCCTGTGTTAGGGAGGCCTCTAGACACTTAACTGTATGCAAAATTATGAAACTGGGCCAAGAATCATATCCCATGGGGACATTGACAACCACCATCCTCCACATACATCATGGAGATCCTTCTGGCCTCTCTTGGTTGGAGAAGCAACATGGACCTAGCCAATAGGGAGCTCAGCCTGATGGGTGAGACAGAAAGAAGGAAGGTACCTCCTGGGTTTTCTTTCACCCCACAAACCATACCCTAGGCCTGACCCAGCTGGGCATAGGGACACATAGAAGGGGGTGATGATGTCTCTTCTACCAAGGGGGCAGTCTCAGGCCGGAGGCAGATGCTTAACAGGCAATTGCTGTAGAGGTCTTGGGAAAACTGGAGACAGGAGTCTGAACAGGATCCAGTCAGGGGTCCAAGGCTTGGAGTGAAGGAGACTCTACCTGGTATCCAGATCAGATGGCCCCCAGATTATAACCTCCTGACTCTTTGGCTTTCTGGTTGGCTTGGCTGGCCAGCTTGGAGGGCCAGGATTGGATAGCCTTTTGGATTGAGGCAGTGATGCTGCAAAGGGCACTCCAGGCAGAGGGAACCTTGTGAGCAAAGCATGGAGGCATGACATGGCTGGTACATGAGGAAGTACCCTGTGGTTTGGCTGGCTGAAGTGCAGGGGGTGTAATCGGGGTTGGTATACAGCGGCCAGATCAAGGCAGGCTTGATGAAGGTTGGGCCTGATTCTGAATGTTGCCTGCAACCTGCGAAGGATTTGGAAAAGCTCTGCAGAAAGCAGCGAGTCAAGGAGTAGTGAGTCTGGAGGAGAGACCTGTTGGGAGACCTATAGAAGGTCTGAGTCAAGATGGTAGCAGTGAGGACCAAGAAGAGGGAATGAGCAATGTGCAGAAGGGGGGATCTAGATACTTGGTGGCCTCTAAAGTAGGAGTGAGGGAGGGATCCAGGGGTCTTCCAGGATACTTTCTGGTTTGAAGAGTTGGGCGCCCATTCTGTAACTGGGAATCCAGCACAGGAAGCAGGTTTGGGAGGTTAGTTGTCTATGTAAACACCTATGAAGCGCATACAAATAATGCAAATGTGGGCTTTTCCACCAGCCTCATGAAAGTTTCCAAGCCTAGGGATGATGTGGAGAAGCTGGAACGTGCTTGGGCGAATATCCTTCTCCCTTCCTCTCTCTTCCTCCCTGGGAACACATAAGGTTTATGGAGACAGAGAGTGGCATGGCCCTGGGTGTGGTGGGGGCAGTGCAGCTGAATGAATGATGAATGGGTATCACTATCATCACCTGTGGGCCTTTCAGCATGCCTTCTTCCCTGTTTTAAGCACTGATTTCCTTGCATAGGAGAGATGATTATGACCTCCTCTGGTATAAAGAAATATTTTTACAAATTAACAGATGTCAAATGAATAGTGGGGGGTTTGAAGAAAAGTTGAGGGTCTTGAGAGCCTCATATGGGGCTACCAGACTCATGCCTGCCTTGCACAGTTGTGCAAGTGGTACCCTGTACAATAGCACCCAGTGAGGGGTTGTCTATCTAGCCTACCTGCTGCTTGCCAACCTGTGGGCTAGGGGCTGTGTCTACTTGGAAAGGGTACCTTTTACTAATTTGCACCAAGTCTCTGTGAGGAGGGGTTCCAGGAAGGTGGAGGCCAAGGCCAGGCTGAACTGGAGCAGAAAGGCACTCACTGTCCTTTGCCATGCCTTGGCAGACATTATTAGTTAATTATCAATCGAGCAGTTCTTTCCTGCCCAATCTTAGACTCCTTCTCAACTCATTGCTCCAGGTTGCTGCCTCCAGGTGGTCATGGAAATTGTCAGGGGTGGGGACTATGCACAGCATAGTAACAAGAGTGTGGGCCCTTGACAGTAAGGAGCTGGGTGAAATCCCCACTCCACCACACATTGAACTGTAGACCTTGGGTAAATCGCGAAACCTCTCAGTTTCCACAAGTGCACAATGGGGATGATGTTATCAGCTGTTTGAGTTGTGGTGAGGTTGCGTGTTTGTAAAGTCGCTTACACAGAGCCAGGCACAAGTGAGTGCCCCGCAGGGGGTGTCACTTTATTCTCAATTTTCCAGGCCTCCTAATTCTACCTTTTTCTACTATGAAATTAATGACTAAGTGTCCCAGCAACAAACATGTTTTGTTGGGCAGTGGATGACTGCAGAGGGGTGAAGCAAGTTGGAGGAATGTATAGACATGTCAGTGAAACTCTGTCCTGTTCCCCTGGACTTGTTGCCTTAGAATCCTGGAATTCCAGCTGTGGTGACTTTTGAACTTCAGAGCTGGTCCTTAGTGCTCTGGGCTTCTCAAGACCCTTCTTGGGGTAACCTTTGCTGCTTCACTGCCCCAACTACGTCCCATGCCGTTGTTGGAAATTCTGCAGGAGGCTTCAGTCTTGGACTTGTGTGCTTGATCAGCCCCCTCACTGATCCTTTCATTTACAGGTTATTCATTGAGCCATGTGCAAGTGCACCAGGGCTTTGAATCTGAATCTGTTAGTTTTGGTTCAAACCTTTGCTGACAATTTGCATTTCTAACAAGTTCCCAGGAAATAACACATAAAAATCATCTGGAGATCTTGTTAAAATGTAGATTCTGATTCAGTACATCTGGGTGGAAATGCAAATTCCCAGCAGGGAACTTGTTAGAAATGCAAATTCTCAGCAAAGGTTTGAACTGGGAAGAACGAGTTCGAATTCTGAAGTGCACCAATTGGCTGATTGGTTTGTTTCTCAGATATTTCTTTTGGCCCTGGCTCTCTGCCATGACTGGGCTGTTGTGAGGAGGGAAGTTCGGTGAAAGCCTCTCCTGGCTCCAGGTCAGGTGGGATGTGTACAGGGAATGAAGGCCAATTGGTAGGAAAATGACCTGAGGCAGGGTAGAAAGGGGAAAGAACTGTCAGAAAACTTGTCATTTTGTCTGTCTGTTGGGTCTTGACGGGGCTTGCTGTCTGCTAGCAATCAGCTGGCAGCTTTGGTAGGGACAATTAACTCTGTTTATCTGCTAGAGTGGGGGTGGTGGTGATGTGATGTGGTGGGAGGCTATGGGCTTGGAGTCTGATGCTTACTCACTGCTGGACGTTGAGAAGGAGCTGTCACCTGTCTTTCCTCCAATATCCTATGAAAGTAAGGAAGCTAAAGGAGATGCTCTGTGGGTCTGTAGGAGTCTGCCATAATTAATCAGTTCCAAGCTGGCTTTTCTCTGGTGCCACACAGCCCACATTCCCCAAACCTTATTGCCCCCACTATATAAGTGGGTGTGTGCTGGGGATGCTGGCTGAGGCCAGCGCCAGGGAAAGGCAAAACATTCACACAAAGCAACAGGCACTCCAGAGGCTCCCAGCAGTGTCCCTAGGACTGTCCCCTCCAACCCCCACCAGCCATTCATGCAGTCATAGGAACTGAGAGCTTTGCTTTCCTG